ACCAAAGAAAGGCAAGTTGCCCAAAGGGATTAACATAAGAGATCAATAGATTAGCAGCAGAACAGATATCCCTTCCAATCAAGATCTTACAGCGAGATAAGTCCAAAGACCCCTAACCCTCTCCTAAGGACCAGTCAAGAAAATAGTAAGCAGAGTAAATATAAGAGGATCCTGGTTTATTAATCCATTTCCTTTTCTTTAATGAGATTAGTAGTGTTTCTTTCAGATACTTGATCACTAAAACTTCTACACGGAACAGTATGTTCTTTGCAGAAAAAGCTAGAGAACAAGGTAAACTATGATCACATCAAACAATGCCTTATCAAATCAACCTGTATCCAAATACATCATACAATGCTAGTGAGTAATGCTGATTTTTGGCCAACCTTGCAGCTCACATTAGCATATCAGTTGTAGTTCCTGGGCAATGGTTTTGGTCTTCCAAATAAGTTGAGATCATAACCTTTTTGTTGGGGTTCCCTGCCAGACAAAGAAGTGGTTTCACACTCAGCCCTTTCCAGACCACCAAAAGACAATAAGACACTAACGCAACCCAACCCACTCCATATGCAACTCCTGCCAACTCCAAATCTCCTAAAACAATAAGCTGAACAAAATGGGGTTTATGTGAGGTCCACCACCTCTGCCTGAGAATGAATCATAAAACCACTAGAACTCCATTCCCCAGCCGCACGCTGCCTAGCCCCCACCTACTCAAACTGTGCATAATGAAAATGAAATCAGGAACACACTGAACTTAAAACCTCAAGTACATTTTAAATCCTGTTTTAGATTCATCTATATTAACAGAGGTCAGGCAACTTCTTTATTCAAGCTAAGTTATTCTTACTGGTTTAATAACAAAAGTGGTCAGACACATTTTTCTACTAAAAAAAAAAAAAAAAAAATACCCTGACAAAGAAGTACATTCTAAAACTCAGCAGAGAATGTGGAAATAGCCTGCAATAAACTTTGCCTTACAAAATAACTAATGAAGGAAATAACCAGTTATTTGGCAATGGGAAACAACCATTTGTCTATTATTACATATTTTGTAGGTCATTAATTAAAAGTACTTTTTTATTTTCTAGTATAGCATTTTTCAAAAATGTCTTACAAAGAGCACCAGTGCAACAAGAGAAAAGCAAATCATGTACTTTTGAGAAGCTCTGCCTTCTCTGGTCCCCTTCTTAGAAATGACTAATGTACATTTGCATATTAAAGACTGAGACTGAGACTCTGTGGAATCCCTCATTTCCCCAAGTTCACTTGGCACTGCATCCCTTTTTCTCTCATAACACATATCAACAGCCCACAAAATGTCTATTCTACCAAGCACAATTTGGGAAAGATTTCTTTTAGAATAGGGATATAGGCCAGGAGTGGTGGCTCAGACCTGCAATCCCAGCACTTTGGGAGGCTGAGGTGGGCAGATCGCTTGAGCTCAGAAAACTAGCCTGGGCAACATGGTGCAGCCCCATCTTTATCAAAAATACAAAAAAAAAAATAGCTGGGCATGGTGACACATGCCTGTAGTACCAGTTATTCAGGAGGCTGAGGTGGGAGGATCACTTGAACCTGGGAAGTAGAGGTTGCAGTAAGCCAAGACTGCACCACTGTACTCCAACCTGGGTGACAGAGTGAGACCCCATCTCAAAAAAAGAAAAGAAAAGAAAAGAAAAGAAATGGAGCATAGTAAAATAGTTTAAGAGCTGAGATTCCAGAGTCAGCCTGATTCAAATACCAGCTTCACCATGTTAGCAGTGTAACATTGGGTTTGTCCCTTAGTTCCCCCAGGTAAGATGGGCAAAGTAATAGCACCTACCTTCTAGGCCATGGGCCTTTCCATCTGAGCGGAATAGTCTTCTGAGATCCTCACATGGCTGGTTCCCTGACAACCCAATATAAAATTAGCCCCACCCAGATCACTAGTGCTTCACTCTCTTCTTTTCTTCATGACATGCCTCTATTTAGCCATAAAATTGTTATCTATTTTACTCCAATAGAATGTAAGCACCATGAAGGTAAATTTTATTAATTATTGCCATATCCCAAAACAGATCTTCAATAAGTATTCATCCAACAAAGGAATGGATGGATGGATGGATGGATGGATGAGGTGACTCAATATCAATCAATGTAAAGCACTCTTCATGATGCCTGACACACAAGCTGATGCATACAAATACCATTTTGAAAATTTTTGAGGAACGATGAGTAGTTAATACATGCATAATCATAATTCTCCCAATAAGTAATATTCTGATTCCACAGTGCATTTTCTTGCTGTATTAGAAGTAAACATTTCACAACATTCATTCAGAGGTGTGCTAGGCTTTCAGGAATAGGCAAGGGAATGGGGAAGGTAGGCCCTAAGAGTAGCATCTTCCAATTTCCATGGTGTAAATATACCAAATATGACCAATTTCAGGCTATCTGTGTTTTAACATCAGGATCATGAGATTCCTAAGAATTTAACAAATGGCTCTCACAAAGCAGTACAACCCTTCTCTTGGGAATGATCCTTTCATAACTTCAAGACTTGTTTGCTGAGTTCAAATTTAACATGGTTTTTTTATGTACAGATATATTTTCCAAATTCTGCCCTTCTTGATGAGCTAAAATAAGGGCTACCTACTCACTTTGGTCTGATGTTGAAGGAAACTAGTTGAATGTATTGGGATGCGCTTTCTGTGTCCCCCTCTTTGTGCTTTCAAACTGGTGTTTAAGGATCTAAACATGATCTATATCCATACCAGACCATTGTGAGGACCAGCCAATCTCAGAAAACCTAAGAGTAATTGTGTTAAAATTCATTTAAATGGAGGCAGCCAAATAAGGCACCATCTAGTAAGTGCTATCAACAAGCAGAATCTAACTGCAGAAGAATGACTTCACCCTGACCACAAAATCCCAACAAGGAGGGAGAAATGGTGCTGCAGATGGAGATTTCTCTGACATCACAGCCTTGCTGCCCCTTAGCATCAAAATAAAAGAGTCACTTTTTCCAACTACAGTGATCTTCTATCAACTGCAGTTTTGAGATTACACACAAAAAGTTCAAAATCCACAGTTAATCTACATGCAAGTAACAACATGCCAGTAATTACTGCTTCTCTTCTGTAAACTACATAAGAGGTCTATGAATAAGACATGGAGAAAATTACTTTCTGCTCTACTGTATTTGTTATCTATTGCTGTGTAACAAATTACTTCAAAATTCAGCAGCTTAAAACAGTACACATTTATTATCTCACAGTTTCTGTGGGTCAGGAATCCAGGCACAGCTTAAGTGGGTCCTCTGCTTCACAGTCTCTCACAGCCTGCAATCAACACATCAGCCCAGGACCTGTTATCTCATCTGAAGTTTCGACTGGGGAAGTATCCACTTCCAAGCTCACTAGATGGTTGTTACCAGTTTTCCATTCTTTGTGGTTGTTGAAATAAGTACCTCTGTTCTTTACTGGGTGTTGGCTGGAGGCCACCCTCAGTTCCTTACCACATGGGCCTCTCCACATGGCAGCTTGCTACATCAAAGCATGCAAGCTAAGAAGCAATAAAGTCTGCTAGGAAGATGGAAGTCACAGTCTTATGTAACCTAATCAAGGAAGCAACATGATATTCCATTACTTTTGCCATAACCCACCATTTAGGAGGAAGTTATGAGGATCAACCAATACTCAAAGAAAGAGGATTACATAAGGGTGTGAATTCCAAGCAGTAGGGATCACTGGAGGCCATCTTGGAATTCTGCTTACCACATTCACCCTCTTGGAAGATGGATGGGAAGACCAGGCCCAACCAAACATCTCTTTAAGCATTTCAATATGAAACCAAGCCATGTTTCATAAAGCATGCGTGGTTTCCCAAGCATGTTGCTAAAATTTCATTAAAACAAAACAAGGAAGAATAAGTGTAGAGGACATTAAATTTGCAGACACAAAAGTTTGCTCATATGTTCTAGGCAAATATAATCTACATCGGAGCAAATTCTTGGGATCATCTACATTTTCTCAAATCCCAAGACGGAAGCAATGTCTTCTGACCAACGAAACAAATGACTGACAAGAAGCACTGCCATCTGAACAGGTATAATGCCAAGAAATCTAGTTTGATCTAGAAGCAAATATCTTCTGGAATTTTTGTTTATCACTATAGAATAGTTTGAAAACATATATAATGTCATTTTATTGCTTGCTGTTTTCTCTGTGATCCATGTTTCCCTGCAGCAGTTTTGCCTGCATGATACTTTTAAGGTCCATATCCACTGCAGTGGCAAGGAACTACTATAAAAATTTCAAACCTTGACAGTCATCCACATTTTTTCTAAGCTCTACCCAACCACATATTTTCAGATACATGAGCATCCCAACATTGAATGGTGGTAAAAGGCCAGACAGACTGCCTCTGAAGGACTTCAAATGATTTAATTTAAAGGCAAAACACATACTCAGAAAACCTGTAATATTCTGTCCTGGATGAATGTAAATGCAGACAAAAATTATCTTAACCCTAAACATTCAAAATTGGTCTGTGCATTTTATCATTCTTTCCCAGAAACACCCATATGCTTTAGTTTCTGCAAATCCCATCCCTAATTCAGTAATAAAAATATTTAGAGCATTGTGTTGCTAATCATATCTATTTTTTCCTTTAGAGAGGTGATATTTGATAAACAACTAAACTTAGTACCATACCTAAAAGACTATGAAACCACAGCCACCTGTGGGAAAGCAATTGTAAACCACCTTAGAGTTGATATGTCCTGCATATGCTTGGATCCTGGATACGGGTTGAATAATAATGGAATGTATGTGCAGTGAGCAAAGACTAATACAAAATTCCTGTTTAATGGTCTTAAGCTGGCAGAAAGGTCATAAAGCAGATGACAAAGTGAATATTTTTAAGGATGTAGATATCTTCCAACCTGTGAAAATAACTTGATAACATGTTTTCACTTATAAATTAAGGCTTTGGGAAAATACAGTGAATGAGCTTACCTCCCTAAGATGTATGTTTTCCTTCTCTTTCTGGTCTAAAATCACTTCCAAGTGGCTGACCTGAGACTCAGCCTCTGCCATCCGCCGCGTTCGCTCATTGTCATCCTCCAGGCTTTTGGACGGCAAGCCTTTACTTTGCAACATCTCAAGAAGTTTTTTAATCGACTCATCTCGGGCATTGAGGGTTTGTTTCTGTGTTTCAATTCTCAGCTCCATTTCCTCTAATGTCTTTCTCAAAAGGAACAGCTCCTTAGCCTGCCTGTCATGTTCGGCTTGGAGCCTCCTGAAGTTCTCCTCAGTCAGCTCAATGGTGAAGTGCTCTGCTCCTCGGTTGCCACTCTCTTGCTGAAGGAGGTGGTTGAGGTCTCTCTGGGTTCGCAGCTCATCTTGAAGGGCCTGGATTGTCAACTGTAGGTGCTGCAATGAGAAAGATGGAGTGGGAGAGGAGACAGAAGGAAAAAAAAGTCAATGAAAATGTCAAGTGCCATTTGCTGCTACCACACTATGAAGATGGAATGTTAGTCATGAAGTCCGGAGGGCCAGCCATGAATTCCTTCACGGTGACTTCAGAAGCATGGGACAGCACATGGAGAGGGGTGGATTAATTCAGTGATGCGTTCTGAATGTCTTGGGAGAAGAGAAATGCACACAGACACAGAAACAATAGATTAGTGTCAATCACAGGGAAATTATACATCTACAGCGTTTTAATTTAGGAAGTGGAAAAGGTTAGAGGGAAACTTTCACAAACACACCTTTTTTATGCCCAGAACGCTCCAGACTCAGTATTCCTTGTTTCCTAAGGTATTCTTTATTGTACTATCCATTATTTTCCATGATCAATGTGTGTTGATTTAAAAATGAAAATAATAGCATCCACTACAAGTAGACACAAACAAGGACTTTATTTTTTACAAATAAAGCTGTGAACAGGTTTAATAAACAGGATTACTGCATCTGCAAGCAAAAGGGAATAAATGCAGGCACAGACAAACACACTCAAACACACAAGGAGGTGAGGCTGTGCAGAGCAGAACAAACAAGCTGCAAAGAGTGGACAAACCTTGGTTCTTCTGGCATCCAGTAACTGAACAGCATGGGAAATGAAAACAAAATGAAGCAAAAAATCAACACAAAGAAAAGTTCAGTGCAAGCAAAGGATATTTAACATAAAGAACTTAATCAACATAAAGTACCTTCACAGAAGAAAGAAGAAAAAAAAAGAAAAAAAAATTCTAATTACAGCAAAGACCCATAAGCCACACAGAATTTATAGCATTGACATTCGATAGACATGAAAAAAAAGAAAGACCAAATGTGAGTTTATTTCACTTTTGTTTTCCTAAATCTCACTGACCCAGAAACCCAAAGTCTTGAACATATTACCAGAGAGGGAAGCACCTGTTATTTTGGGTCACCATTTTAAGCAAAGTCAGAGTGAAAGCACCAGAGAAAGAAAACAGTTATCAGATGAGAGAAAAGGCACCCGTGCTTGAACAGAGTTGGCAAATTCAGCAATACCTTTCCCCATAGGACAAACCCCCAGCCTGGTCAGAGGAGGCAGCCACAAGCCTTAAGTCATTTCTATCCCTATGGACAAGCCAAGAGGCTTCCAAGACAGCAGTTATTTATTCGCCAAACATGTGATCCTGCTTGTAGAATGAACACAATGCTAAGCACAGGAATCAAGAGGCACATAAGACATAGCTCCTCCCACAGGGAACTCACAGTATTATAAAGCATGGGTCATACTATACCTAAGTTATATGAATATTGGAGCAGTCAATATTTTGAAATCTTTCTGAATTCCTATAGCTGACACTCAGAGGTATTGAGATCTTTCTGAGTGTGGCCTACACCCAGAAACTAGCACTAGGTGATGCACTATCTCGATTATATTTTTTTCTGGGTATCCAGTTCACATTCCCAATTATGAATGTCCACTGATAAATTCTTAGAGCATAGGGAACACATACTCTCTTCCTCATCTGTATACTACAGTGCTTCACAGGGTATTGAATGCAGAGAAAGAAACTGATACGTACTTATGATGGAGATTACAAATTTTTAATACAATGCTCCTCTGTAAAGTGCAACATACAAAGTTGTGCAACCATCCACACAATAAATTTTTGAACATTACCTCAAAAAGATATGCCATGCCCTTTAGCAGTCACTTCCCATCTCCCTCCCTATCCTCAGGCCCTGGTAACCACTAATTTACTTTCTGTCTTTATGCCTATTCTGGACCTTTCATATCAATGATATCACTCAATAAGTGGTTTCTTTCACTTAGCATATTTCCAAGGTTTATCCATGTGGTAGTATGTATCTGTACTTCATTCCTTTTTATGGCTGAGTAATATTCCATTGAATGAATATATCATATTTTATGTATCCATTTATCAGTTGACTCATACATAAATATTCATAGCAGCAACATTCATTTTAGTCAAAAAGTGTTAACAATCTATTTGTCAATCAAATGATGAATGGGTAAATAAAATCTAGTATATCAATTTAATGGAATATTATTCAGCTATAAAAAGGAATGAAGTGCTGACATACAGGACAACATGGATAACCCTGAAAACATTATGCCATGAGAAAGAAACCAGTCACAAAAGACTACATATTTTATGATTCCACTGATGGAATATCCAGAATACACATATTCATAGATGGAAAATAAATTGTAGATTGCTGGGGGGTGTGGAGAGAACTGGGGGACTCCAAAGGGTGTGGGGTATCTTCTGAGATGATAAAATATTCTCAAGTTAGATAGGGGTGTCTGTTGCACCACTTTGTGACTATACTAAAACCAATGAATTTCACACTGTAAATGAGTGAATTGTATGGTACATAAATTATATATCAACAAAGTTGTCACAAAAAAACATGAGGCGGGACTATAAAGTAATCTAACTTTCCTCCACCAGCCTGCTATCCTTAAGCCACATTAGAACAGAGTCCACAGGAGTATCTATAGCCTTCAGCCCAGGGATGCGACTGCGGACAATGCTTTTGAAAGAGTGCTTTGGCAACTGTCTTTGAGTCATTTTATATATATGTATATATACATATACATACATATATTTTTTTTGAGATAGGATCTCACTCTGTCCCCCAGGCTAGAATGCAGTGGCATGATCTCAGCTCACTGTAACCTCCACTTCCTGGGTTCAAGTGATTCTCCCACCTCAGCCTCCCAAGTAGCTGGGACTACAGGTGCACACCATCACACTCAGCTATTTTTGTATTTTTTGTAGAGATGAGGTATCACCATGCTGCCCAGGCAGGTCTCGAACTCCTGAGCTCAAGTGATCCACCTTCCTCAGCCTCCCAAAGTGCTGGGATTATAGTTGTGAGCCACTGTGTCCAGCTGTCATTTAAATATTCTTGATCATGGCAAATCTTTGTCCTTTGAAGGTGGCTTGGATTTTTGAGATGACCCCAGTTTATCTGGAGTCAAACATCATGAATTGGGATGATCAGAAAGGAAATGATCTTTTCTGAGAGTGACCAAAAATAAGATTGGTTTTCTTACAATTCATAAACCAGCCAGAAGGGAATTCCAAAAACTGCCAAATGCTTTGAGCAGAAACAGCAACATTGGAAGGACATCTCTGTGAGGGAGCTGCTCCTTTGAATGAATACATTGCCTATTGCCCTGATCCTTTGTCCACACATCTACGCAATGGGGATCATCATAATGCCTACCATAGGGTTCCTGTGAGCAATAATGAAGATAAGGTGGCAAGTGCCAGGTTTGAGAGCAACGAGAAGGAGGAAGGATAATAGAAATGAAGGAAAATAAGAAGGAAGAAAAGCAGGAAAGAAGAAAGGGAGGAGAGAGAAATGGAGGGACAATTGCTCCATTTATCCATTTAATATACAGTTATTGAGTATCTCCCTCATACTCTTGAAATACAGAAAAAAGAAAAGAAAAAAATAGTCCACATTCACAGTCCATGTGGACAAGTAAACCAATAGTAACACTATGTCATAAGGGTTACAACAGAAATCGTAGCCAGGTAGCTAGAAGTGCAGAGAGGAGGGAACCCAGGCTAGCGGCATGTAGGGAAACATCTCAAAACAAGCAGAAATGTGTCTTATTTGAAGGTAAATGAGGGCAACCTTGTGAAGAATGATGAAAAGAGAAGAGAAGCTGTAAAAGCCAAGAGGTAAAGACAGGCCAGATCTATTAAGAAACAGTAAAAGCAAAAATCTATATATTATTTATAATACCAAATGCCATGCATGGTCCTAAGGTGTTTTAATCCTCAGAACTACCCTAAAAGGTAGCAACGGTTATGATTTCCACTTAATGCATAAGAAAATGGGGACACAAAGCATTTAAGTAACCTGCTCACAGTCACCCAGCTAGGTAAGTGGTACAGCCACAGGTGTTCATCCAGACACTTTGAGCCCAATGCCCATGTTCAAACCATGACATCATTGGCATCTGAATTGGCACAAATACTTTAAGATAGCTGGAAAAAAGAATGGGGTGGCAAGAGGTAGTAAAAGCAGACAGGCAGGCGTTTATATCAGATACAGACATTCTCAAAAATAAGAATTAGCCATGTTGGCTAGGCTTGGTGGATCACACCTGTAATCCCAGCACTTTGGGAGATCAAGATGGGAGGATCGCTTGAGGCCAGGAGCTCAAGACCAACCTGGGCAATGTAGCGAGACCCCATATCTATTTAAAAAGAAAGAATTAGCCATCCTAACGAGGAACAGCCTGGTTATGATGAATGCTTGCAGGCTGTACATTTATTAAGAAGCAAAGTCTATATTTCAGGTAGTCACATTATTAGTTACTAAATGACTTCAACATGACAAAGCAGTCTCATAATCAGCATAAAATTTAGTGTTCAAAATTTTCTCTAATCCATGTTTATATTTAGTTTTCATTTTCTTTTAATTTTAAGATATTCAAAATCATATAGGAATCTTGTTCCTACAAAAGCAATTTTTCAGGAAAATACATAACTTATAGATCCTTGATCATCCTTCTGCTTTATATACTTGAAGACAGGGAGGGGATATGAAGTAATCTTATCCATCCTTCCACTCCCCTCCTCTCTACCCCTCCCACTCTCTTCTTTCTCATTGTTCTACTTTTTAGCCATTCAACTCAATCAAGTTTCAAAAATCATTTACCAAGCTGGGCACAGTGGCATATGCCTATAGTCCCAGCTACTCGGGAGGCTGAGGCAGGAGGATCACTTGAGCCCAGGAGTTCAAGACCAGCCTAGGCAACATAGGGAGACTCCATCTCTTAAAAAAAAAAAAAAAAAATCATTTACCAGATTTTCATCTCTAGTTACATATTTAAAATAGACAATTTCAATTATAAAATACAGTAAGAGCAATAATCCATAGAAATTGATGGCCTTTCTGTGCCTCAGTTTTCTCATTTGTATAAGGAGGAGAGTATTAATTCCTACTACCTTGGAATCATTAAATATAATGATGATAAGTCATTTAATGAGGATTAAATGACAATTAAATGAGTTAATACATATAAAGCTCTAGAAAGTACCACATGCAGATTAAGACATCAATCAGGATAGGCTTAGGATATGCTGCAATGACAATAGCAACAACAAAAAAATATTCTGAAAGACATAAACCACCTGCTGTCACAGAATAGGAACATTTGGAACTCAAAGAAACCTTTAAAATTGGCTTGTTAACCTCATTTTATAAACAAGAAAACTGTATCCACACAGATTAAATGACAGGCCCAAGAGCAGAAACACACTGACAAAGCCAGAATCTATGTTTCTGGGATCCTGGACTCCATCCTGGTATGTATTTCAATAACCCTAAGAGTAGACCAAAAGCGGGTAGCTCTACACTTTGACAACATAAGAAACGGCCATGGTGTCTCTGACAAGGATGATGAAAGATAACCCAAGTCACTTCACTTCCATGTCACTGGGTCCTATCCAGTAGTTAAATCACATGGAATTCCCCAAGGACAATTTATTTAAGACTTCCTTTCTAAGTCTTCAGAATTAAACTGTGTAGAGATTAGAAGACATACTCAATAAAAACTAGCTCTAAAGGACCAGA